CCCCTAAACCCCTGAACCCCTACACCACACGAATAGCCCAAAGGGCAAACTGCCAGGCTGGTGACTTTCTCAGGCTTAGAAGACACTTCAAGGCCTGAACCCAAACTTCAAGAGTTTGGGGTGTAGGATGTTTAGATCATAGGGTTCTGGGGTTCTTGAGTTTAGGGTTTAGGGTCGTAGGATTTAGGGCTTCAGGGCTTTAGGGTTTTAGGGTTTGAGGCTTCCAGGTTTAGGGTTCAGAGCTGGCCCATCCGGATGCACCTTCTTCTCATTCCCTTTGCTCTCCTCCTCGCCGTCTGCCGCCCCACCTCCATAACTAGGTCTAGGCTGAAGGGTTTAGTTTAGGCCCCTTTACAGGTTTAGAAGGGTCTATCATAGTGTACGGGGGAAGCCATCAGGCCTGCAAAATGCAGGTCTTGCAAATCGAAGCTCGGGCTGGAGTAGCAAGCGAAAGGTAGTGCAGTACAGGCAAAAACTGACGAAGGCTAGCTAGGGTTTAGGGTTTAGGGGAAGATGTCTTCTGCACTGTGCTTCCATAGCTCTGCATCTTCGCTTGGAGCTTGGCACTTCCTGGCTATGGCACATAGTGCCGTTCAGCATCTGAACGCCCGTTAGTAAGCGTTACATTAGAAACAAAAGATACCCAACAAATATGATAGAGTATGATATAATGCAATATAGTGAATGATAACATAATATAGTGTAATGCAATACAATATGATATGCTACTATACATACATATATATATATACATATACATATACATATGTATGTTTCTTTCTCTCGGCACCATAAAAAAGCATGATATAACATACTACTACATAATGTGACATCATAAACATGATATGCCATGGAAAATATGATAAAACACAATAACATAACAACTGGCCTGGGCCTGTCATATAAATCATGTAACATGATCTACTCTAAGATTGCTTTCTATAATAAAGTACAGTATAGTTTAGTCTAGCCTGGTACAATACAATACAGTTTTCTTAGTTTAGTCTAGCCTGGTACAATACAATATAGTTTTCTATCAGGTAATACAACACAATGATGTAGTACCATGCTTTGAATAGAATGTAGTATCCTGTGTAAGCTACAACATACAAGATGATAACGTACAATATGGACCTTTTTACCGGTTCTTAGACTTTCAAGGCAGATCCAAGCGTGCTGGGCTTCACCATCCTATGTGTAGGGTCGTAGGCAGACTTTCGCCTAGCCATCAGAGATATGTCATGATGTTGTACTGTAGTGTATAACATCACATGACACTCAATCTTACCATATCATTTTATTACTTGTTTTTATTCTATTGTATTGCATTGTAGTGCAACTCACCATATTATTTCTTGTTTATGTCATATTATAATATATTATACTCATTGCTTATGTTGTGATATATTGCTATATGTAGTTTACCGTATGTTGTTATACTGTATTACAAGTATTCCAACATTGTGCTATGTGTTCCATTCTGTTCTATCATATCATATCACTTGTAGATGCAAGAAACCTCCACGTGAGAGCCCCAGTACGGCCTTGAAGCTGTCTGGCGATCATGGTGGCATATCGGCCCTCCTCTGCAATAACTTGGCTTTTTGGATTCTTTTGGCAACGGCAGAGCAGTAGAACCGGGGTTCGTATACTCCGGAGACTGCAATCGCTCAGCGAGACCGGGACTCCCACCAACTCCGTTTACTGTCGAAGGGCTGGAGTGGAGATATACATCGATTTTGATTCGGATGGAGTGCCTTGATCTGCACCAGTTCGTCGTGTGTGCCCTGCTCAACGACTTCGCCTTACGAGAGTCACGCCATTGCAACTATGCAACGCACAACTCTCATGGAAGTTGTGCCCTGTCACATGCAGATGGTGGCGGTGGGGCTGAGGAGGGCACCTTCATGAAGGACGATGATGCGGTCGGCATCCTTGATGGTAGAGAGGCGGTGAGCAATGACCATGATGGTACCTTGCAGTATCTTGCAATGCTGCTTCCGAGACACAAGCCCTGCCCTTTCTCTCTGAGCAGCCGAACTAAGGAACATCTGTGCTGCAGAGACAGTTTATATAGGAGAATGTCATACTGACGGCATCAAGGGACGAAAGCCTAAGGCATCAACCACCTGCCTTCCACCAAGCCGTGTCACCACATCCCTTCATTACACTGCCTGGGGTGCCTCCAACATGTTCAGGCTATCCACCTTAACAACCCTTGTAGTAATGCGTAATAACCCCTGCAGTAACCCTCATAGTAACCCTTGTCCGAACCCTGAAAGAAATTGTGATAATGACAGTAACCCTGAGAGGGGTCTACCTAACTGGAGGTTCATGGGCAGCTATATGTGGGGTTATAAGTCCCCTGAATGTGGATGTTCCCGCACTTATAACCCCACTTATAGTTTACAGCTACCCATGAAGCCTCCAAGCAGACCCTAAACTCCCTAAACCCTTATCTAGCCGTGAACCTCCAAGTAGGGTCCCTCCGTCGAGCTGCAGCTCCCCTGCATCTGCTGCATCAGGGAGTCCAAGGCTGCCTGCCCAGACGTACCCAAAGAGTGGGACTTGGCACTTAGGGTTTAGGGTTTAAGGTTTGGGGTTGTTAGAAGGGCTTACTACAAGGGTTCCCATAAAACTTGCAATACGAGTTACTATGAAAGCTAGTATACAAGATACTATGGTGGCTACTAGGGCTTGCTATGAGGGTTACTCGAAGGGTAACTGTGAGTGTTACTGAACATCATCACTGTAAGGGTGAGCCTCATTGGATCGGCATAATTCTCAACACACTACCGGACTTTTCGATGAGGCTGAGGCCATGGGTATTGAGGGACGGCATTGAACAGTGCCTAGCTAGGTTCTCAGAGCTGAAGACCCGAGGATCGTCTCGGTTTAGTGGATCGGGCCTGCACCATGGCCTCGTTTTCGGCATCTAGCCTCGGCAACACTCCCAGACTTGCAGGTCTCAGTCTCCTAGACAAGGTCTTGATTCTATTTCACAGATTTATGCATACATGGATAAATGGATTTTGCAGAATATGCTGGACATATGGGCACAGCATTCGTCAATCCCTTGCTCAGAAATCTCTTGTCTGTACACTCTAGTACTTACTTGCTTGGTTTAGACTTCTCCGTAAATTTTTCTCGCTGCTTTCCAGCGCACTGCGGTCTCCGACCCAGCCCTTGACGGGGGTGGTTTAAGGATTTGGGGGGGGGTGCTGAGACCGCGGCGCCGAGGTAGCCTCGTCCAGGAGGAGGATGCGCGGCCTGGCTGTTCGTGCCGAGGCTGCAGGAATTGGCGCTTGGGGGTGTAATGTTGAATTAGGCCTTGGGGTTTGGGGATTCAAGGCTGGCTTTTGGATTTAAGGTGAAAGGTCCAGAGCCTGCATCAGATATATCCGTGAATACAACCGTACGTGTATGCATGCATATCGCATGTGGGCAAACAATCGCGGAGACAATCGTATCCGCGTACACATACCAAATATATATATATAGGTATATGTGTATGTATATATATATGCACATATGTATATATATATATGTGTATATCTATATGTATATATGTATGTATGTATGTATACATTAAAAAACACATATCTATATATATATATATATGTATATGTATATGGTCACCCCTCTACTATACTTGAAGGATTCCAGGATTTCCGTATTAAACCTGTCTAATCTTGATAAGGAATGTATCCAGAATTCCAGGATTTTCGTATTATTTCTAGTTCTAATTTGTAAGGGATTCATATAGACCAGAACCCATGCCAAAAACAGGAATCCAGCATTTCACGCTTTTCGTATTACATCTAATTCAACTGAATAAGGGATTTATATGGACCAGGATCACATCCAAAATCAGTTGTCCAGGACGCCAGGTTGGGTAGGTGACGGTGCATTTGATTAGCGCATAGCAATCAAAATATAAATAACTGAACTCACAAGAGAGCTCATTGCTCATTTTTTCAAAGCGGCTTCAGTTCCAGTGAGTGCATAAATAATTCAATTGGGGAATTCTTAGATCTTGGGCTCCTTCTGATTTTCCCTAAACAACTCTTTTATCTATAAGATATTGTATCGGGTACTCTATAGGATATACAAGGTATACAAGGGCTA